AGAAGTGTGAGGGGGTGGGAGCCTCTCTTCTTCACCAAGTTCGGCGAGGAGTTTTTGATCTTAGACTCTGATCATATATTTGCTTGCAAAGTAAAAATCAAATCACTCAAGGAAATTCACACATATTCCGGCCAGGAATCCTATGCTGGTCCTCTTAGGATTTTGTCTTATTCAGCAATACTTGCTGAAGTGCTGTGGAAGGTATGATGCATTCGGAGAAGGAAATGATTATGAGTAGGTCTTAAAGAAATCTACCAATAAACTTCTACATACAGTTTGAACTCAATTTTCTGCATATTATCTTGTCTTATCTTGTTAATCAGCTCTAAGATTTGCCTGTTTTAACTATTGAACTAAATCATATTAGTTCCAGCTCTGATTTTGCTATTTCATCAAAATACACCAAAAAACTGACATTCTTTTATGACATCTTCATTAAAGTTGAGAACAAAAAAAAAGGTATAGAATTTATGTTGATATTCGTAGCAATACCAATGAACCCCTAGAGATAGAGGTTGGGTGCTCTTTTTTTTTGTCATATTTATACCTGAGAAAAGAATAAAATCCAACAAATATTTAAAATTTATCAAAAATTTTAAGAAACACTACTATAGGACTTAACATATATATTGCAAATGAAAAATAAAAAATTGGGAATAAAAGCAAACAAGAATCTAGATGCTACATGATTGCCATTATTCACAAGAATTCATAATAAAAAGTAAATAAATAAAAGCCCAAACAACAAGCCACAACATATAATATAAAATGAAAAAAAAAACATAACGAACCTTTCTAACTTCTGAAGATAAAAGATAGACTTCCTATAACATTTTCACAAAAAAGATGTAAAAAATATTACAAATTACAAATAAAAAATAAAAAAACAATAAAAGAAAAAGAAAAAAATCCATGCATTACATGTTTTGTCATATATTAAAATAAGTACAAAAAAACCTGATTTTCACGATCGAACAAAAATTCAATGGCAAAATATATAGATATGTGTGTGTGTATGTGTGTGTAGTTGGCGAGATAAATTTCAACTTCCTAAAGCACAAAATACAAAGGACAAACTATAGAGTTTCTAAAATGCTGACAAAAAATGTCCAAAAATGCAAAAAATAAAAATCAAGAAATATAGTGAAAAATAACTAATTAAAAGACAATAAAATAAATCATCCACGAAAACTGATAATTGCCATATAACTTAACAAATTACTAATTAAACTAAATTTGGGAAGAAACTCATACCGATTGCATGAAATAAGGATTATGCAAGCTACTTGGCTTTTTCCTACTTCTCTCTCTGAATTTTTATTAGATCAGAAGAAATATATGTAATGACTGATGAGTGGAATGTATCTAACGAGTGTTAGTCCCTCCCATTATATAGAGACATTAGGGAAATGCATTATTAGAACATTGTATACGAGTCAAAGTACAAATCTGAGAAAGGTTTTTGTGTTACTTTGGTAGTGTAGATTGAAATTAAATAACAATGAGATAAAGATGGGCTATCATATCTTAGAGATGGCATGCTAAGACCTTCTACATTGGAGGATATTCCGTAGGGATATGAATCGTTTGAAATAGGGCAAGCTAATCTACGTCTCAACCCATCCTAAGCAAACTTTAAGGATACAATTTTTTTTTTTTGCATTTTTCATGACATATTGAAATAAGGTGAATTTTGTAAATTTTCTTATTTAACTTAGTTGGTGATATCATTCTATCTAATGTGATTATTTTAGCCCAGTGTCAATAAAACTCATCACCCAAACTCTTATAATGGAGTCTTTAGAGACCTGAGAAAATCATAAAAAAAGAAAGTAGAGACTGAAGATGGGATCATAGAAATAGGCTTGAATGAAAAGAAACCCAATTGAATAATCCTGATGGGGTTAAAATTCCATTCGCCAAAAGAAGAATAATTAGTAGGCTTATTAAAAGAATATTGAGAGTTATCTCATTTTACCTATTGTTAAGATATTATCTATACTATATTAAAAGTTCCGATATGATTTGGTGATTTAGTTTTTACTTTCTAACTATACCCTCCCTAGAGATTCTAATGACTTTGTTGTACTTGTAATTTTAAATGTCTTATTTTTACTGATATGGTTTGGTGACTTAGTTTTTACCTTTCAATTATGACCTCACTAGAGATTTTGAGTTTTTGCTTTTCAATTACAACCTCTCTAGAGATTCTAATGACTTTGTTGTACTTGTAATTCAAAATGTTTTATTTTTACTGTGTTGATGCTATGGTTGTACTTTATGAATACGCATTGATTTAGAAAATGTTTAGGTTTTACTTTAGAAATAAAATCAAATTCTATTTGGAATTCATTTGACGATGAATTTTCTAAATTAAATAGAAATATAAAAAAGAGTTTCTTTTAACTAGGAAATCTCTACATCATGTTTCCTTCGATTCCTTCTTCCATTCTTCCATCACTTTTTGTACTTTTTGAGTTTTTGTTTCATACAAAATAGAAGACAAAATTGTGTACGTTCTTTATGTTAGAAATAGATTAAACACTGAAAGTGAAAGAAAAGGAATTTGGAGATTTTATTCCTGCCATCCACATATAAGGATAATCTAAAATACTAATAAATAGTATGACAAATAATGTTATACATTCACTTGGGTATTAGCATTTGTCTATATTTATTAAGTTGTAATTCTTGCTCTAATACTATATATATGTTTTTTGGTTTTTTTTTATATTTAGAATCACCATAATCGAACTATAAGAACCCTTTAGAAGACACAATATGTCCTTTTCATTTTCTTTGTTTTTCTTTCATTTTAAGGGCACAAAGAAAGGATATTACATCAAATTTAGTGAATATTAACCATACGAGTTATTGGATGGTACTAGGTTTGACATCTTAGTGACAAGTTGCTACAGAGGAAGCTCTTAGGGTTTAGCTCTCAACGTCTTTTCTAGGGTTCGCTCTAGCCTTCATGGCAGCCTCTTGGCCGCTGATACCCTCGTCGGATGGCCATAACAGGCTACCGGGGAAGACCTTCGTAGATATAGTTGCAGGGGGTGCATTAGCCTCTACTCTTCCTGACCTTGGATCACTTAGGGTTCATTGAGGAAAGCCGACTCTGGTGATGTTGAAGCAGGAACTAATGACCCTCGTGGAACCATATAGGAATACCCTCATAGGAAGGTTTGCTTATTACAGACCTACCATGGAAATTATTAGGAAATTTTTTGTCACTCTGGGCTTGAAGGGCTCATGCTTGATAGGCTTGTTGGATGCTAAACATGTACTCATACGGCCTACTGCTCAGGATTACACAAGAATCTTCCTCCGTCGCACGTGGTATATTTAGGGATCGCCGATGACGGTATCGAAATGGACACTTCATTTCAATGTTAACCAAGAATCCTCCAACGTTTTGGTATGGGTGCTGTTAAACTTGGCTCGTTGATTGGGAGACCACAACAAGTGGATTCAACAACCTTGAATTTGAAGCGGCTTGTTGAAGTGGACGTTGCAAAATGCCCTGTTCCTTGCATTTGGATAGGAGATAACGACGGTGGCCACTGGCAAAAGGTGTAGTACGAAGAGTGGCCAAATTTTTGTAGTTTCTGTGAGAAGGTTGGACATTCGGATAATAAGTGTTATAGGAAACACCTAAACCTGAAAACTGTTCGATAGAATGTTGAAGGGAAAAAGTTGTCCACGCATGTATACAAACCAAAATTCCACATGGTCAGGGGGAAAAGAGCTGCAACAACTAACACAAGGGCAGTACAGGTAACCTCAGCAGGAGAGGGGACTCACCAGGATGCCTTAGGTATGATGACCATGGAGAGCGGCAAGCCGTCCTCATCGTCAGCTCTAAAAGGAGCAACTGCGGAACTGATGGGTGCGACTCTGTAGTACGAGCAAAGGGCTGGAAAATTCCCAGCAGCTATAATGTCTGCCACAGAGGTAGTAAAGGTAACCCCAACAGTTGAGGGGATTTGCCAGGACGCCTTACGAACTATGACCATTGAGAGTGGAGACCCTTCCTCTTCGTCAGCTCTAAAAAGAGCATCTGCGGGTCTGGCAGGTGCGACTCTGCAGCACGAGAAGGGGGCTAGAAAATTCCTATCAATTGCAACTATTGATCCAAGGGGCTGCCCAGACTCCAGGGAGAGGGAGAAGAGGCTACGAGCAACATAGAGATCGAGCATACCACTCAGGAGGTTGATTTGGAACCAGTTGTAACGTCCAATAGATTTGTGACATTGAAATTGATAGAGATGGAGACACTGGAAGATGCGCCACTACTGGGTCGCTGCTGCTCCGTAGATGGTCGATATTTCTCACCGTCTCCGTGAACCTTGCATGGACTCCGAAGGAAGTCATTGGAAGGAACCTAAGGTGTTGGCATTCCCCTTCAAGAACTAAAGGCATTTCAATGGTCCATAAACCAGCAGCTGCAATGAACTCAGTTGATTGATGATCAGTTGCCGAGTGGAGCAATTATTGATTCCAGGGATGTGGAACTCCTTAATACCTTATCCAAAAAACCAGGCCGTTCTCTTAGTTACAACAAAAAATTGCAGCAATTCCTGTCTCAAGCTAGAGCCTCTATATGTATTTTTTATTAGGCCGCTTAACATGCTAGTGTGGAACACACGAGGTGTGTCTAGGCAAGACTCTCAACGTCTGCTCTGAAAATTGTGTCAACAAAATCAGGTTCATATGACTGTATTATTAGAACCAATGACGTGTCAAGAGCACTTATAGGCTACAATTCCTGCATTACACGAGAGCTCAATCCTTTTTGGAAGGAAAGATTTGGGTGTTTTGGAATGAGGACTTTCCCATTAGCTTTCAGGAAATAGGAGACCAGCTTATCCATATGTCAATGAACTGGGCTAGTTCTCCTTTTTCTTTTTCGGCTATATGTAAAGTGCACGAGGGTCAGTAGATGTGTGTTATGGGGAGCGATGCGGGAGGTTAGTAATCAATCGTTGGAACCATAGATGGTGGCAGGTGACTTCAATGTCATTTCCAAATATAGTGAACAGTCTGGGAGGACCTTTTCTAATGAACACAACATAGAGGAGTTTAATGACACCATGTTTAACTGTGGGTTGGTTGAAGTTGACTTCGATGGTTCACCTTTTACTTGGACGAACGGCACTATGTGGCAGCGCCTGGACAGGGCACTAGTCAAGGAAACTTGGTCGAATATGTTTGGAGTAACTAAAGTATCCCACTTGGTCCGTGGTAGGTCAGATCATGTCCCGTTACTGATTAGGTGTGGACAAAGGCCTATGCAGGGTTCCTCATTCCGTTTTCTCAATATCTGGGAAAAACACCTGACCTTTTTGGAAACGATACAAGAAGCTTGGCAAGAACCAATACAGCTAGGGGAATGCATGGTTTCTTCAGAAAATTGGTCCATACCAAAACAAAATTTCGGCAGTGGAATGCCCAATGTTTTGGTAATATCGCACAAGCGGTAAAGCTGGCCGAGGAGAAGTTACATCAATGCGAGTCTGAGTTTCAGCTACGGCGGGATGATGTTTCGAAGTCCAAGGCTTGGGCAACATTTACTCTGGCTTTGGCTGTAGAAGATGAATTTTGGAGACAAAAATCGGCTATAAAATGGATCCAGGTGGGAGATGCCAATACGCGATTTTTCCATTCTGTGGTCAAGCAGAGGCGAAATGCTAATTTTATTTTCCGTATTAAAAGGGATAATGGTCATTGGATTGAAGATGAGTCGAGAATTAAGGATTTAGCAACCTAATTCTTCTCAAAACTATTCTCCTTTGAGTGGGGAGGAAGGGCTGCCCCGGTATTAAATTTCTCGGCCCCTGGATTGACTCTGACAGAAAATGAGATGTTGAGAAAATTGCCAACGATGGAGGAATTAAAAGAAGTCATTTTCGCTATGTCGCCTGAGAGTGCTTCGGATCTGGATGGTTTTGGAGCCGATTTTTACCAGCAGTGCTGAGATATTATTAACATGGATTTGCTGCGAGTTGTACATGACTTCTTTAAAGGGGGTGCCCAACCAATGAGCTTCTCAAGTGTGCTCATAGTCTTTATTCCGAAGGTCCCTAGGGCTTCCAATGGCACGATTTTCACCCTATTAGTCTCTATAATACGAGCTCAAAGATTGTTTCCAAGATTCTGGCTAACCGTATCAATGGGCTTCTGCACAAGTTGATCTCGCCTTGACAAATGGGTTTTGTGTCAGGAAGGAGTATTGTGGTTAATATTTTGCTGGCTCAAGAAATGGTTTTGGACCTCGATAGAAGGTTAAACTCCTCGAATTTGTTACTCAAGTTGGATACGGAGAAGGCGTATGATTGGGTTGAATGGAGGTTTTTAATTTTTATGTTACGACAATTTGGCTTTCAAGAATGGGTGATGGACTTAATCTTCTCTACTTTGTCTAATAACTGATTGTCAGTGTTGATTAATGGTTCTCCGGTGGGATTATTCAGGTCTACAAAGGGTGTTAAACAAGATGACCCGCTGTCTCCGGTACTATTCCTATTAGTTGCTGAATTCTTAGACTGGGGGTTGCGGCACCTCTTTTCTCAGGAGGAGAGTCGCTTTTGTGTGTCAGCAGGGTCTAAAATTCCCTACCTCGTTTTCGCGGATAACATTTTGATATTTACACGGTGTTCAGAGGATTGCCTAGAGGCTCTGAAGAATCTTCTTGATAGTTATCAATCCTACTCGGGTCAAAAGATTAATTCTATGAAAAGCTCTTTCATTATTTCTTCTCAAGCATCAGAAGATCAATGTGCATGGGTAAGTTCTAAATTGCACTTCTCGCATCAAGGTTTGCCATTCACCGATCTTGGGGCGCCTATTTCTAGGGGAAGAAACACCTGTTTGTTATTTGACAACATCGTTTCCCGGATGAGAGAGTGGGTGTTCCATTGAAGTGCGAGATTGTTGTCGTATGAAGGAAAGTTGGTACTGATTCGACACGTTTTCACGTCAATCCCAATGTATCTACTACAAGCGCTGCATCCCCCAAAAGCGGTTCTTCTAAGGTTGGCAAGGATTTGTAGCTCATTCCTATGGGATAAATCATTCGAGTGACGGAGTATTCATTGGATGGCTTGGGAGAATTTATGCTTCCCCCAGGAGGAGGGAGGATTAGTGTTTCGATCATTTGCAAATATGAGCCCGGCTTTTGACTGCAAGCTATGGTGGCGCTTGAGAAAAAATGATTCGATTTGGGCAGACTTCATGCAAGTTAAGTACATTAAGGGGATGCATCCCGCTAGGGTTTAGGTATGTCGACCTTCAGCGTTGTGGAGACATTTGGAAAAGATCAGGAAGGTAGCAGAAAGCCACATTCGTTGGTGTCTGGGTAGGGGGTTTATCGACTTCTGGTATAACTGGTGGCTTTCTGATCTACCACTTGCCGAGATGGTTCCTTTATTAAATCCTCCGCATATGTTGCTAGCAGAATTTTTTGACAATGGCGATTAGAAGGTTGAGGGATTGGGTGCCCGAGAGTTTGGTGCGCAAAATTCAAGAAGTCCAATTATATCTAGACCAGGAGGATTGCATGGTATGGGTAGGTGATGCCACAGGTAATTTTACAATCAGGGCTACGTGGAATACTATTAGATAGAAGCGTAGCATCTCACGTGTGAATAAATTTGTTTGGAGTAGTAGGGTACCCCTCAAGATTTTTTTTCGTATGGAAGCTAATTCGAGGATGGGTGCTCTTAGAGATGGTCCTGAAGAGGCGAGGCTTCTCGCCGGGCTCTCGTTGTTCTTGCTGTTTAGCTGTGGAAGAGTTCTTACTACATGTTTTTGTATCTGGTCCGGTAGCGAAAGATGTGTGGGATCATTTTCAGAGACGATTTGGGATTATGGACGGTCCTTCCCCTTCTGTCTCAGCTACACTCTTTCGTGGTTTTATTCGACTTCTTTGGTAACGTTGGGTCACATACGCACAATTATTCCATTACTCGTGTTATAGTTCTTATGGAAGAAGAGAAATAAAGTACGGTTTGAAGGAATTTTTGTTCAGGCATAAGATGTTATTTTCATGGTTGAACAGTTTGTCGAGCAATTGGAGAGGGTTAGGATGTTGTCAAGGGACAACTTTAGGGGCAACCTAGAGGACCCATGGTCCCGGTGGATGGTAGCTATGAATATGAGGTGTAGAGCGATGGCGGTCTCCTGGAAGAGACCTCCGGCGTAGTGGCTCACGCTAAATACGGACGCAAGTGTCAATCACGGCCGCGCTTATGGGGGAGGTTTGTTGCGAGATTCGAATGGCAGGTTAATCTTCACTTTCTACTAGGAGTTTGGGGAGTTGGATGTACTATCGGCAGAAAGTTCCTCACTGTTATATGGACTCCAGCAGTGTTCGGAAGAGCTTAGAGGGCGACTGATGGTATAGGTGGATTCGGAAAGTCTAGTTTGATTGCTCACTTCAGGAGCGATAGCCAAATGGCCGCTCTGTAACACGATCAGAAGCATACGAGCATTGCTTCTCTTCTTTTCGGCTTCAATTAAACATATATTTAGGGAGGCTAATTCCTCTGCTGATATGCTACATAAGCTGAGACTGCCATCAGAGTTATTTTGTACCTCGCAAGATTAGCTTCCAAGGAAGATCCGGGCGGCCCTGAACCTTGATCGTCGAGAGTTTTGTTATGTGCGACTATAGATTGACAAAGGGTACGCTCTCAGTGCTGGGGGGATAGTGGTTTTTGTCCTCAAACTAATTGTAATGCTGTTGGTTATTAATAAAAGCAGGGGTTGGCATCCCTACCTGGTAAGTGGGTTTTGCTAAAAAAAAAACCATACGAGTTTGAAATGTCTCTTCAAATTACTTTAACCCTTAATAATAACAGTAACTCATGTATAAATTGGCACTTCTAAATTGTCTTGTCATTTAACAATTGAGAATTATTTCCTTTACTTTTCATTGCTTTCTTGCTATATAAGAAGAAATTGGGAAATCAAAATTAGTGAATAATTGTAAACGACCAAGTGAAAAATTATCTTCAATCTTAATCTGAAAAGGAAAAGAATTAACAAATAAAAATTATCCTTAAAAATATCATGGCAAAATATTCCTTATAGATAACACACTTGAATTTATTTATTTCTTGTTAGAACGCAATTGTTATTGGATAACTTTTAAAAGTATTCAGTAATAGAACGAAATTGTAAGTAAGAAATAGGAAGGAATCAATGGAGGATATAGGTTGGCATGTCAAACTCGTTATTCAATAATGACCATCACTAACAATTGTTTCAAATTAATATTTCTACTTTATAATGTAATCTATAAATCAAAATGCATTAATTATTCCTTTTGTTTTATTCATTGTTGACATGTGTTGATAAAACAATTAACTATAATCTTGGAGATACTATGGAGTGATAGTACCATGCTAATTGTTGTTTCACTATATTAATAACACTTCTGTCATTTAGAAGTTGTATTCTTCCACAGATGAGGGCGAGTCTAACATTTTCTAGTCATTATGGATAGAGCATTAGTAATATGCTATATTGAAATTACAATATTGTTTAAACAATATATTGAATATTATAATAAATTTTCTTAATTTTTGTTTCAGTTGTGCAGATTAATACTCACTAAAAAAACGGCATGTAATGGAAAGACAATTGAATTAGTTATGAGGTATTCTTGCAGAAGAAAATTCATTGAGAATTGTGATAATTGCTTCTAGTAAGTTATTAGACTACTAGTTGTTGGTTTGAAATTAAGATGTGGTAGTTCCAATAGTATAAAACCATATTGATGACTTCTAGTAATGAGACTATTCGCCACTAGAGTAGAGATATTGAAAAAAAAAATGGATATATATATATATGTATGTATGTATGCATGTATATGTGAATATATATTATAAAATATCGCTACTATAATAGATATATAACCATAAAAAGTAGTAGTTCGAATAGTATAATATTAGTCATCTATATTGATAATTTCTAATGATGAGATAACTGATTGCTAGAGTAGAGATGTTAAAAAATATGGATTTATACTTACTATAATTGGAAATGAATGAGAAATTTTTTTGTCGAATATTGAATTTACATAATTTATATACTGGGCCGTTATTCGAAGTAATTTGACTTGAATGTCAATAATATGATATCTTTGCTATTATATATGCGTGACAAAAATTTGAATCCAAATTTGAATTAAAAATATAATATACATTGAGGGGGATAAGATATATGTCCAAATATGTTAAAAATTACCTATGAGGATATAACCATCTAGGAACTAGAGATCCCAAGAGCTAAAGTTAGAGACAAACGAATTATAGAGTGATTTGGGTGATTATTATATACTTATTATGTATTATACCTTTTTATGATGAAAAAATTATCATTTTACTAAAGCTGCACTAATGACAAAAATTATATGAACTATACATAGATATAAATAGATCCCAAAAATAAATGCATAGTACTACAAATCTAGAAAAGCAATATAATATTACATTGAATCTCCAAAAAAAATAAAAGATAAATTTTTATAGCCCCAAAATCTTTTGTGGGTGTTTCTAATCATACTGTTTGCTTTCTTCTATATCTACTAATGAACTAATTTAAACCCAGATGTGAAGGTGATATCTAACAAGGTAGATATAGAATATTTCAGATTCGACAACCAAATCTGAAAAGATTTAGACCTAATACAAGAAATAGGCTAATTACAAAAATCTCATTAGAAATTCCTAAGAGATGAGGAAACTCTCATTAAAAATCATAAGA